TTTTTTTTTTTTTTTTTTTTTATCTCTGGAGTATTTAGGGTCGATAGCAGTTGGAGGAGCCTCAAAGGGTGGAATAACTGGCCCCAAAATTTAGCGCGACTGCATACACAAGGCAGGATTCGAACCCTTGACCTTACTTAAGCGTGGATCAACCCCTACCGCTGAACCACACACTTGGGGTTGCTCTAAGACTTGTCTTAGAATATAATGTGTGGATATGTTATTTTTGGACTCGATTTTATATTAAAATAATATTTGATTAATAAAAATTATATTGTAAGAATGTAAATATATTTTGTATTATATAATTAACATTAATTATAATATTATATTTTTTTTTTGTTAATTATTGTGCTTTATCAATATTTATGAGTTGTATTGATTATGTGGTATGTTATTTTTCAGAGTAGTTATTGAAGAATAATGAGAGTTAAAGAACTCCTAAAGGTTTTTAGGTGTTTAGAGAATTTTTTTGAGTAAAGGTCCTCTTTGACCATAAAGGAAGAATATATAAGGTTTTTTTTTTAGAATTAAGCTTCATAAGTTCATTTTTTAAAATTTTTAGAAAGATAAACTATAAAGAGAAATTCTGAAGTATAATACTTCTACTTTTTAAGTCTTCTCGGTGTGTAAAGATTGTGGTTAGCTGTTAATTCAAAGCTAGATAGTTGAGAATCAAGATGGTGTAGGTGTAGAGCTTGTGTTTACTCAAAGCTCGAAATCAATCTTCTTCTTCCTTTTTCATCTTTTTGATTGGAGTCGAGGTAAGGGAAGATAAAAAGTTCTTTTTGATGAGTGGTATAAATTGCATGTGGTTTGATTGATATCAAAATGTGAGTATATTGATGGATTTTTGAATAAAGGGGGGAGGGGTTGGTTTTGGGTGCTTTAAGCATGAGGATATGGAAGTTGATGGTTTGATCTCTTTTGTTAATTGCATGTTGCTATTTTGATGTGGAATAAGTTGTTATTGGCATATATATGAATGATATAAGTTGTTACATGTTGAAAATTTATAGATTTCAGGTGACTTGAAACAATTTACTTTATGTAGAATTCATTAATATCTCAGACATGCCTTCAAGATGTTAATTATGATTTTAACATGTGTCATTACACCAATTATTCTAGTTTCATGTTTCATAATGATTATTTTCGTTAAATTATTTTAGGAACAACATTTATAAATATATAAATATAAAATATTATTATATTGATAAAAATATATCATGTTGATTGAAGTGGATGTATCGGTGCTCTATACTAGTTAATGATGAACCAGTCCAAGAGAAGGGTATTACCTAGTTTGACAAGAAAAAAAAAAAAAGACTAGTTAATCTCGACTCTTACCGATTCAATTGATGGATGATTAAAACCAAAATTATATATATACTGTTTGATGTAGAAATAATAATATCTGAAAGGGGGGCAACACCCATCAAAATGACGCTCGCAATTTTCCATCTATAATATTATACATATCTCACTTGTTTCTTTGTGCACTTTTTCAATTGCTTTATTGCACTTTTTATATTAATTAATTTTATTCATTTTCGAATAGTTATAATACAATTGTGTTCCTGTAAAATATCAACGTAGTTAAAAATCACTATCATTAGCAATGAACAATAATTGCGAAAACTTTTAACCGTGTGAACGTATAGAACATGGTGAAATTTTCAGGTTTGTTTTAAAAATTAATTATTTGATGAATGTGGCCATCGATGTCAGCTCGCTCCAAATTTTCCTAGTCACCTTAAGAAATAATTAAAATCTGAAAATGATATAAAAGATAATGATATTTACTACCCAAAGTCATTACCTTTAAGATATATAAAAGACAACTTTTTAAATCATTTATCCACTGCAATTCATGTATTCATCATTATCACATTGCATATAGATTGGTGTCATAAAATTGTAGGACTTAATTAAACTCTGTTTAATTATAGAGTCTTGAAAATTAATTTAACTTGAAAATGAAGAAATAATTGAAAAAAAGAAAATTATTCACTTGCTTCTCAATTATTTTAAATTAGTTAAAAGGATCTTATTTATAAGAATAAAACGTGGTACATGCTGTTAGTCAAATAGCCTCGTATAATTTAAGAGGGAGATGAATTAAATTTTCCAAATTTTTCTCTTATAAAACTTTTCTAAATTACTTTCTTACAAATTTAATTCCTTAGATAAATTTATATGTAAAGAATGAGTGATGATGCAAACTACTCAATCACAATTAATAACAAGTAATTAAAAAGTGTAGAAGAAGAATTGCAAACTCAATTTTATACTGGTTCGGCCAATCCTGCCTACGTCCAGTCCTCAAGTCTCCCACTTGAGATTTCCACTATTCTTGTAAACCTTACAAGACTTGAATCCTCCAACACCTCAGAACTCCCTTTCCTTGTGTTGGGATTCAAAAACCAACAAGGAGAAAAACTTTTTCTCCTTCACAGATCCAATGATCAATTTGGAATTACAGAATAACTCTCTTTTAAAAGTAGATATACACTTTTATTGATCTTAATGAACTCTTTTTTGAATAATGCAAATGAATTTGGCCAAGATGTTTTTGTATATGACTTTTTCATAATAGAGTTCGTAACCTATTTCTGAAAAATTATAGATATTTATAGACAATTAATTCTTAGGTTGTGTCTTTCCATGAAGAGTTGTAACTCTTTATAATTTTTCAGAAAAGATACTCTGGTAATCGATTACAAGACTTGGTAATCGATTACAAAGGTTTTAAGTTCAAAAAATTTAAAACATTGTATCTTTTAAATTCAAATTTTTGAAGTTTTCTCTTCTAGTAATCGATTACAAGGTCGGGTAATCGATTACCAGAGTACATTTTGTATTTAAAGTTTGAACTTTGAAGTTTCCTCTTCTGGTAATGGATTACAAGGTCTGGTAATAGATTACCAGAACATATTTTTGCATTGTTTAAAAAACTTTTATGTAGAAAACTTCATATCAATAATTTCTTTCACAAATCTCTCTTAAGAAATGATTTGAACTATTCTTTAAAACTTTTGTTAAGTCTTTTAAAAACATTTTTACTTACTTTCAAAAGATTTAAAACTTTCTTAAATTTAAAGAGGTTAATTTAAGATTTTTGAAAACTTATTCTCAAGGCCAAATATACTTGCAATTCTAAAAGATTCTTTTACATTCTTAGCTAAGTTGACAAGACTTATCTATGTAACACTTGAAATTTTATTCTTACATCCACTTGTTTTAGCTCAACCTTGATTCTTCTTCAATGCTTTATAATCACTTTGACATCATCAAAACATTTGTGCATATTTTCTTTCACACATGCTAACATGAGGGATATGAGAGACAAATAGAAACTTGCTAAAAAAATTTCACTCATATCAACAGGGGATGATTTGATTAATCATACTAACACGTACCAACTAAAAGCACTTATGACAACTTAAAGTTTTAAGAAATTAGACAAAGTTTATTTTAAGAATGAAGTTGAGTCATAGTTTAATCATCTCAAAGTCAATCTAATATTATATATTCTTTTAAAAATAATTTTTTAAGTTGAAATGTATTAATAACACTCCTCTATGCTATCAATGATCGCGTGAAGGAAAAGGTGAGATGAGTGAATTTTGAAATTTTCTACAATTATGGTTTGTAAAAGTATTTCTAGAGTATACTGAAAACTTAAATTCTGAAATATTTACTAATTATCAAAAATAAATTCTAAAATTTTATTTTCAGAAATATTAAAAAAATAGGAAAGGAAAATGTATAAGCAAATAAGGGGATTGCCACACATAAGTGCCCAATTGGTAAGAAGACTGTACCCAATTGGCCGAAACCCAAAATCATTGGCCCAAATTCACTACTCCCCGCAAAAAAAAAAACATTATCGAAATGATAGGAATATCCTCCAATACCAGCAGCATAAAATGGATCTGAGCTAAATTAAAAAAGGGAAATTAAAAGATGGAAATAAATATAAATTAAAGTAATTAATATACACATAAAGTAAACGAAAATTATTGGAGGCGAATGTTGAGTTTAAGGAAAAAAAATAAAAAAAAAAATTCGCATTTGATTTGGAATGTACCATGTTGAAAGATAAAGTGAATGATTCCCATGGTGAGAAGAACATGCTCCATGGATGGAATATGCGGACAACTGAAACCGATTTCCAGCACACAGTGTCAGTGGATCCCATCCAACGTCATGGATAAAACCATGTGAAACATAGTACCATAATTTATGACCTAAAGTTCTCACACACACATCTCTATCTATATATATAAAGAGAATTTCACATTCATTTCCACACTCATAGTCATGGACAAAGAATTCTTCACTGTCCCAGTTACTAGCCAGAGCTCCGACGAGGTCACTTTTGCTGATACAGTTTTTGGGTTTTGGGATTCATCCGACTCCATCAGCAACCACAACGACAACGATGATGATAATGACAATGATGATAATATTTTTATTGAGAAAAATAATAAAACTTTTTGGGAGGAACAAGATCAACTTCTTAAGGTATTACATGAATTATAGTACTATAATATCTATTTTTTTTTTCAATTATTATATTATATATTTGAAATATTTATTTATTTTATTTATAGTTAATCTCTGCGAATTGTTCATCTTTAACTATGGTTCATTTATTAGTTATTTTTTTTATTTACAAAAGCTCAAACATAAGATTTTACAAAGCAATATTTATATAATTCACTTATTCATGAAGAAAAAACAATTTGAAATTGGATTGGAATAAAATGAGTATCTCTCAATTCTAAATTTTTTTTCCTTGGTTCCATTTTGGAAGGGAATTTTGTGCAGGACAAGTTCACGTGAGACAAAAGTTCGGGAAGCAACGAAGGAGGTTGTAGGAGAATTGAAGGTATCGGAGATGGTGTGTATTTGCCAACGGCAAGTGGTGGCTAAGAGTTGCAGGAATTGTTTTCTGAGAGAAATATGTGATCGATTGTTGAACCTTGGCTACAATTGTGCCATTTGTAAATCCAAATGGAGGAGTTCACCCCAAATCCCTTCAGGTATATATTATAAATCAATTAAAAGTTATTATCATATAACTTTTAAAACAATTATTATTATTATCTAGTAATTAGCTTCATTATACTTTAGTACATGAACTTATAAAATGACCAAGTTGTATTCTTTTTGGCACAATTGTTTCAGGGGAACATACTTACCTAGAAGTGACAGATAATTCATCAAACACCAAAAGAGGGGCAGTAAAAGTGGTGATTGAATTGAGCTTCAGAGCTGAATTCGAGATGGCACGTGCCAATGAAGAATACAACCAATTAGTTAAGCGATTACCCGAAGTGTTTGTTGGAAAATCAGAGAGGTTAAGAGCATTAGTTAAGATTATGTGCTCAGCTGCAAAAACATGCATGAAGGAGAACAAAATGCACATTGCGCCATGGAGGAAACACAAGTACATGCAAGCTAAGTGGTTCGGCACGTGCGTGAGGTCCACGGTGGAACCATTGCCTATAACATACTCTACCAAGCAACAAAAGCCTAAGGCTTCGTTGCTCACTTTTGATTTATTAGATAGCATTCATGGCTTGCATTGTGCTCCAGTTGAGGTCGTGTGAAAATTATGGGGTGGTGAACAATCTTGTTAATTAATTATTTATGTTTTCGTGTCATAGTATATGGTTGTGTTGAATTCCTGTAAAAATTAGTAAGTGATTTTGGTGATCATGGTTTTGATTCGAACCTATGAATGATAAGAGAAAATTATTAGGTCAACTATAATGTATGATGGAAATTTAAAATTTCTATAGGCATGTTTGGTGTAGTTGATTGTTTTCCAGAGACATAAAATTTATTAGATATGTGTAAAAAATCTAAATTGATCTGAACCGATCTATAATCGATCTGATCTGTATTGAAAAATTCGATCCATTTAAAAAAAAAGTCTAAACCAATCTACATTATAAAATCGGTTCAATTATCTTATCTATTTTTACAAAGTGGATTGGTTTGGTTTGGTTTGATTTAAAAAAAAAAACGGATCCATATATGAGTAAAAATTGGATAACTGCATCACACCAAACTGATTCAATTTAAAAAAAACTGATCCATATTTTAAAAAAATCAAACTGATCCACTTTATAAAAAATGGATTGGTTAACCAATCCACTTTTATAAAACGTATCGATTCAGTTTGGTTCAATTTTAAATAAAAAAAATCAATTCATGAACACCCTAAATTTTACAACAGAAGACATTAGGCCTTTTTGTCTTGTATATAAAACTAAAGGGGAAATTTAATTACAGAGTTATAGAACATTGATGAATTGGGTTGATGGATCTAGCTTCATCCAGGATTGAATATACAGCATTATATTCGGGCTTCTTGTTCAAAACTCAAAAGTGGCTGCTTCTTCGGGGCTTAGACTCCTCTTCCTTGGAGCTCCTTTAGCTTGTTACCGGCCCAACCCTATTGTGGAATAAGGGACGAGAAAGCTTCTTTGGCCTTTTCTTTAATAGTTAGAAAATAAAATAAGTGAAATCAAGAAGAAAAAAAAATAACAAAATGAGAAATAAGAGAAGTCTTCTACTTTTTGTTCAATGTATTTCCAAAAGTGGATTTAAAAATATATTTCAATATTATAAACTATTATTAATTATTTTTGTTATAGCAAAACTAATTTTTATTGTTATTAATTAAAGTAAATGTTAATACAAAATTTGATAAATTAGCTAGATCAAGTAAGAAACTATTAATTGATAAGTAATAGCTAGGTTGAAAATAATTAAAAAAAAAATCATTTTGAGGCATAATGAGATGAACTAAGTTGGTAAGCCGAGAAGTAAGAGTTTGTTTGAATACATAATTAGTAGTGGTTCTAAGAACTTTTTAATTGAAAATAAAAAAGCATTTCTTGATAAATAAGCATTAAAAAATAATTTTAACTTATATCCATCTAGATTATGTGTTTTGTTCTTACCAGAATCAGTTCGGTCCCTCAAGTCAGATTGATTCCTTTTATCGTCCTTTCTATCTTGGTCTTACGAGGTTAGTCTTTAAGATTGATCTTCCAGATTGGTCCTCTTTCTCCAAACATCTTGGATGTACCTGCAAAAAGGACTCTGACTATCAAGTTAGTTGTCTAATGTGTATCCTTCAATATCTATATAATTACCTGTCTTGTGCCGTTTTCTGATGTACCCGGCATAGCCGTTACTTTTGGTAGGTTAATAGTAATTAGATTAGTTGTTCTCATGACAAGTTATATGTCCGATGTCACCTATATACCGAGGTGTCATCGACATTCTATATTGACTTCAATAACGAAGATCCTGAGATCAGCTCACATGCCATGTCGGTATTATATCATGATCTCGGTATGACCTCAATCTTATATTAGGTTGGTACATGTCTAATTTAGGAAGATATAGTATATAGTTGATAGAGCAATAAAAAAAAAAACACTAAGCAGCTTATAGTTATATTAATGGGTCAAAATCAAAAAGCTTGTGACCAAGAGACGCTTCATTTGATATACTTGTAAAGTTGTAAGCCAAAATGTGTGTTAATGGTACATTATTAGTCACAAAGATGGTTATCCGATGCATATGAGATTATCGGTTAGAATGTCACTTGAACAAGATTTTTTCATATTATGCTAAATTACGAATAGGTATAGGTCCCTTGACTTGAGGTTATTTCTACCAACGCACATGCTTAGAAAACAGTTGTTAGAACTATTTAAATTCAAATTTGTTGGTATTAGTCCGATCTTAACTCCATTTTGATGGGGGGAAAAAACAGTGTATTTCAACATATCCAACCAAACTCTTTAATGAGTAGAATAACTTTTTAATAACTTTTTAACGAGTAGAATAACTTTGCAACTAAAAATTTGGCGTTTAGTTATTTACTACAAGATTAATGAAGGTTATATTTACGGCGGGTTTTTTTTTTCATATGACAAATGAATTGTTAGCAAATATTTGATTTTTGTTGGGATAACATTTTTTTTTTGTCAGAGACCGATATCTCATATCATTGCGAATGCATATATTTTGTGCCTGTAATATTTGAAGTCGTTGGAAAAATATACTGTTTTATTCCAACAACATGTATAGTTGTTAGGAAAAAGACTTTTATGTATTAGTTCATCTGTTGTCGCTGAGGTGAACAAGTGTAACAATCTTTCTTGACCTATTTTCAATTTGTCTTAAGTACCTTTTTTTTAATAAAAAAAAAGTTTTGTCTTAAATATAGTGGGACATATTGACCGGTCAACAAAAAAATAGGTTTAGTAATACAACTTATTTAATTTGAAAGAAGTTGGTGAGTCGACTCATCAACATTCATCAAAATATATATAAATAAATAAATAAATAAGAAAATTGATAAAATTGTTTGATTCATTTCTTTTTAATATAATTTATTATTATTATTTTTAATCAAATAAAATAAAATTTTATTTAAATATTTTATTAATGTTGGTGAGTTAAACGAATCATCTCATTCTACTTCTTCTTTAATTGTTCGGCTTGACAGATTAGATAAAATAAGTTAGGAGAATTTAGCACGTACAAATACTCTTTTAATCCTAATGTGAATAATGTAAGAGAGATACTTAGTAAATTAATCTCTCTTCACATACCTCAACAAAGGGCATATGCTAGCTTGATACTCTTAGTTTTCCCCTACACATGCCCAGATTATCATAGCACGCCTTTCAAGTAATTAGGTACCCAATAGAAGGCTTAATTCGAGGAAGCCGAAGAAGTAGGGAATGCCATCATGGAAGGCTTGCATATATCTGTGCAACTCATATATGGTGTTGACTAGATGGCATCCTTTAGTTCCAAAATATCTAGTGCTTATAACCTTAAGTCAATAACTTCTTGGAGCCTTCCATCTACATGAACATCTTATAAGTATATGTAACGCTCTCCTCGTGAGTAGGGGTGTGCAAAAAATCCAAATTGATCCGAACCGATCCATAACTGATCCGATCCATATTAAAAAATCCGATCCATTTTGAAAAAAAAATCCGAACCGAACCACTTTATAAAACCGGTTCAGTTATTTGATCCATTTTTACAAAGTGGATCGATTCGGTTCGGTTTAGTTTTTTAAAAAAACCGATCCATATATGAGTAAAAAGTGGATAATTGCACCGTACCGAACCGATTCAATTTCAAAAAAACTGATCCATAAAAAAATGGATCGGTTAACCGATGCACTTTTATAAAACGGTTCGGTTCGGTTTGGATCGATTTTTTAAAAAACCGATCCATGAACACCCCTACTCGTGAGACCCAATGGTCTAAAAAATCCTCATATTTCCATGCTTGTAAAACATTAATATATAATTTATTGTCGTAAAAATAAGCCAAAAAGAATAAAAGTAAAATTAGTACTATGATTTGTCGCTTTTAATGCTAAGTTGATCGTATTTTTAACACAAAACTCCATATATACTCCCTACATTTATCAAGATCTTAGAAATGGTTTGGGTATCTATTAGAGGAAGGGAGAAAGGGAAAATGATTCATTTCTTACTTGGTTCATAAATGGAGGTAAGAGATTTTTAATTAAAAAATTATTTATTTTTTATTCTTATAATTTTGAATTTCAAAATATAACTAAAAATATTTTAAATATTATACTTAAAATGTTTTGGATTCACTCTCCTCTTCCTTCAAATCTCCCACAATTAGAGAGGAGCACAAATTAGATGATGAAGAGTTTTCTTTCCACTCTCTCCAGCCCCACCTCTATCCTCTCATAAAAAATTTAAAGGATAAATTACACTTTGATCTCTCTATAATTCAACTCACAATTTTAGTCTCTTGATTTTTAAATATGCAAGTTTAGTCTCTCAATTTTTAATTCATAATTTTAACTTTTTCACAAAATATTCATTTATTGATCATTAAAGTTAAAACGTTAGACATAACTTGACATTAAATAAATAACATGATAATTAATATTTTTTTATTAATTATTTTAATTAATATCTAATCATTTTAAGTTGAATTACGTTTTTAATTTATATTTTTTTTATCTCATTTTTATATCATTTTACTATTTTTGTGAGATAAAAAAGTGAATTAAAAGTAAAATTTAGCTCAAATATAATTAAATATCAATTGTTATATCACTTAATCTTATATTATAACTAACGTTATAATTTTAATGATTAATAAATGAATATTCGATAAAGCGACAAAAATTATAGATTTAAAATTTTGAAAATCAAAATTATAGATTAAATATATATATATAATCTTCCTATCCTTAATTTTATCTCCCCTCTATTTCCCTCAGCCAACCCCTATGCAAATAAAATGACATCCTTAACTATGATACGATAATTAACAACCACTCTTATCGGCACTCCTTGAAGACTAATAAGTGAGAGACATGTTTCTCTACAACGTTATTATCATATAATATCCATATACATCCTCATACAGAATAATTTTATATGCTATAAAGAAGGCATGCAAATTGCATGCCATTCTTTCTGGGAAAATTACTTCCTTTAGACATAATTAATGTTTCATGAAAATGGACACCTATTAATTCTTAGCAAACGTTCTATTTGTTTATTTGAAGTGCCCCTTTTAAAATCTCCACTAAGTGTAATCATGCAATCGAAGAGGAATAAGCACACACTTAGGATAAGAACAACTTAATTTTTGACTATTGCATGATATTTAATCGTATTATATTTCCTTACCTAAATGGTACACATGTCGAAGCAAGCACTGAACTCGGTTGTCGTAATCAAGCTGAAAGGATACCTATAAGAATTCGTTTTAGAACTACCACACTAGA